GGTGACAAGTCAGCCTACAGACAGGAGGTTGAGTAGCCGGTCCTGTGGTGTGGCCATAACAACCTGGAGCTGAACATGTTGAAAACGGTGGAAGTGATAATGGATTTTAGGAGGAGCTCCCCAACTCGATCTCTGCTTACTATACTCAGCAGCACTGTTTCAGTCCTACAAGTTCCTGGGCTCCACATTCACTTGGGACTTGAAGTGGACAACCAACATCAGCGCCAACATTAAGAAGGCACAGCAGAGGATGTACTTCCTGTGTCAGCTCAGGAAGTTCAAACTGCCTCAGGAGCTGCTGATTTTGTTCTACAGAGGAATCATTGAGTCTGTTTTCTGTACTTCCATCTCTGTCTGGTTTGGCTCAGCAACCAAACAGGACAGGAACAGACTCCAGTGGACAGTCAGGACTGTGGAGAAAATCATTGGTGCAAAAGCGAGAGAGACAGACAGAGGGAGAGAGAGAAACTGTACCTCCATCATGTGCTGGGACTGCACAGCAGGATCAGCACTGAATAGAGAGGAAATTTGATTTGGGGATTTGTTAATGCTATTGGGTGCCAAAACACAGTATCTTTACCATTATGGTGAATATCCACAATTATTTTCTGGGCTGCTAAAGGGGGGTACGTGTCACTTTTAACAGTGCCCCAAATATTGCGATCGGCAAATGTGGAACATCTGAATTGGATTAAGTAGTTGATATTAGAATGACCTCAGTCTAACAGCAGCTGAAAAGAATAGGACTGATAAATCAGTGACTTTATAAATAAACTGTGTTGACCTCTGCAGAAACCGCCTCTTGTTCCAGAAATACCTCCACATATTGATTAGGGCTTAGGTTTCTCTGTCCTGTCACTTTCATTTCATCTTGTGTTTATTCTGTCAGTTTCTCTGACTTTGTCAAGTGTTTTGCAGCTTTCTCTGTCTCTAGATGTGTATAACACACAAACAGCCATCACCAAACACTCCTCAGCCCAGTTCAACCTCATGGGAAGAACTAACCAGTGCATGACTCGCTAAAGTTTTTGTTATGGCATTTATGACTTACACTTTATTATTTTGATCCTGACAGAAACATTTTCCCCACACACCTCTTTGCTGCTTCATTGTAGTCTATGCATCACAAGTACATCTTGTACCTCAACAAACTGCTGTGATATTGACTGTCCCCAGATGATGAATCATGTTTTGTTACCTTCTTAGCCTTTTTTTTCACAGTATCAAAGTTCTAATTTTCAGATTAGAGAACAGTAACATCTACTCTGCTCCTTACATTTCTGACACTCTCTGACCTTGCCCATTTATAGAGTGGTGCATTGAGTGAGCGTATAAGATGCATAGTGTATCTTGGGGGTGGGAGGGTGGGGGGGATCACTAAAACATTAGAATTCCTCCTCTAGGTATGATGAACAAACATCTATAGCACAGTTCATGACTATACAGCCATTCACTCAGCCTGTCAATGGAGTGTCCTCTAAATTACATGGCCACCAAAGTCAGTAAGACATTTACAGTAGATTTTGTTAATAATCACCAAACAGTGAGCACAGCTGTTCACTGTGAGGCTAAATATTTTATTAGCAGTGTATCTTTGTTAGTGACTCTCTGTGATGCTAATTCAAGTTTTATTGATCAGCTGAATCTTAAATATGGAACATCCATTAAATCTTCCTCCACTCTGCATCTTCAAAAGCAGCTTGTGTGTTCTCGGCGCTGCTTTAAATCTGCCCCAGGTGCCAAGGACACAGCACTTGGCAGTTCATTAAGCCATTAAGATGCTACAGGGTGGACATACACACCTGCCCTCTACCTCTGTCCTCAGCTTTCTGTTTATCTTTGCTCTCACCTTTATTACTTTTTTGTTTTCTCTTTCTTTTGTTGTTAGGTTCTCTTTTTTTTTGGCTTGGTTTGTAGTTTTGACTAAGACAAAATTTAGTACAGAACAAAAGAACAACGTCACAGTGCAAAAATCTGTACAGTGTCCTGCTGTAATGCTCAGTGTCCTTTGACTTGACTCGGATAGGCCAGACATCCTCTCCGGAAATGGTAGAGACAGTCCTTCTGTCACGTGATTTCACAGGACTTGAGACCAGGTCACAGAGACCACTGTCAGACCAGAATAACAAAGTACAGATACAAAAACTGTGTTCTTTTTTTAACAGATCATTACTTCAATGTCATTTCATTCCAAGTAACTTAGGTTGCCCTTTAATTCTGGGGTGGCACATTATCTGCATGTCTTTACAGAAAATGTCTTTAAATTAACCAATGACACATTTATTACAGAAACCAGAATGATTCATTTTGAATCATGCTGGATCACATTTGATTATATTTGAGCTGATATGCTCCTTGAAGATTTTTAAATTAAAGAAAATCCACTTTAGATTAAAATGACCATGAAATGCAAGCTTAATGTTGAAGAAGTAGCAGAAAACAAAACTGTGAGATGGAATATGATGGAAAGACAGGAGTAAAATAGGCAATATAAATTTCTTTAGATAAATGAATTTTGCAGTTCTGTTTTAAATTATTTTAAAAAATTATTTTAAATATTATTTAAGCTATTATCCATCTGTCCGTCCATTAGCTATACAGCTGATCCTGTAGGGCCGTGGGGCACTGGAGCCAATTCCAGCTGACATCGGCTATTTAAACTTTTATTTAAATAATTATTTCAAATCATATTATACCATAGTAAGTACAGAATAAGGACAAAATAATTAACTGGTACATTTAATTATCTTTTGTTTTTCTTTTTTAAAATTATTTAGATTTATGTTTTTAAATCTTTCTTATTTATCAATAAATACTGAAATTCTTAATTATTATTAGCATGAGATATAAAATATGCTTTATTACTATACATCATGTGCAATCACATTTTTACTGTCTAACTTATTGAATTATGAGCTCAAACAAACAAAGTCAAAGCAATAAGTCATATCAGTCATTTAAACTTGTTACAAAGTTAACTGTTGTTAAAGATATAATGTTCTATGTCCTACTATTTGAAAATGCAGTCCACATGAAACCAGGCCAGCCCAAAATACAATGAGGGCACAGTGTGCTGTAGCACACAGCATAGTGAAAGTGCATGTTAACACACAGATACAAATAGTTTCTGGACAACAGAAAATCCACTGATTTGCACAGATCATTTTTTTATCTTACCAGTAATTTTTGAACTCAATATTTGACATTAAGTATGAGATTACCCATAAGGACGATGTGTGTACTACTTCAGCCTAGCATCTTTTCAGGGAAAACAGTCTTGTTAAATGTTGATGCTGACACATCACTCACATGTAAATCGAAACAGGGAAGAGTCCTTCAACTGATCTGAAAACAGAAATAAGTCTACAGTAAATGCTTTAGTTCAGCTGTAGAATTGGAATGCCCCTCTACAACAGATCTGACCATGAATATATTGACGTCTGATGCAACGATACATTTTGGTCTTAAACTTCTGCTTCTGACTACACTTATTTGTAAGCATTCGGCTGGAAATGACCAAATCAGGAAATGTATCTTTAAGCCATCAAAGCCTCCTACATTTACAGTATACGCTGATCTGTGTGCTGTTCACCAGAAATCCCTGATAGAATCACTCTCAGCTTTAATGGGCTCACCAGGTTTTCATAATGACTTACCACCACTAATGATGTACCAGTACACAGACAGCACGAGGCGCCACAGTCTCTGTTCATCAGATCTCAGGCAACGCTCAGGGTTTCCTGTCACTCATTATTATTATAGATTTTTCTGAACTTTTTCAAATATATTTTACTTGGGTAAAAAATCTAATTAGGCAACTGCTTCATTTTCCCTGTTGTGAGACGAAAGAGTGAGTAACCACTTCTAATCTCTTTCTATCCTTTCTATACATAGCAACACAATCCTATTACAATTATCCTGAAATGTCCTAGCAAGAGCTGCAGAGAGACTGTTCAAACTGCACATGCTTCAGCTACTTCACTCAGTTTCAACATCAGTTCCCTCATTCAAGACTTTCTGAACAGAAGTCCTGATGATGTTGAATCATCTCAGTTCATTTTCTAGGTTAGCCATACTGCTGCAGCTTCAACTTAGCTGGGATTAGGAATGAAATCATATTTCATTTTTCATTTCCTTTTGCATATTTAAAATCACCTGTGATTTTAAATATGCAGGGATAAAGATTAACCCGATCTATTCACATTTTACTCAGATACTGGTGCTTCAGTACCTTCTGTCAGTGATGACCGATTCTTTGAAATATTTACCACTGGGGTGTGAGCTAATATGCTCTTCCTTAGACTCCAGTTATTCTACTTTGCATCTGAGGTCATGAGCAGAAGAAGACTAGGAGGCAACGCTCGCCATATCTAATATATAACTCAAACAACTGCATTTCAAAACATCCACTATGACATTTAATTTAATACAATTAGGCTGAAATTTTCTTTCAAAATTATTATCAGGCAGTTCTGTATTAAAATCCTTGTAAAAGCTTACATTTTGATTTATAAGTGAAGACTTTTACATTGTATAAAGGTTAGGGTACGTGAAAACCTGGACAATCACAAAAGATTCATATGCAAATGTCTACTGGGTGGTCTGGGAACTGTCTGAGGACCATCATCTTCAGTGCAACCCCTAGAGCCATACTCCTAGGAAGGCTCACATCAGATTAGATCAAAGCTCACAAGCTGTGAAAAAACTGGACTAGGTTTTGAGATCTCCGCCCAAACATGCCCATGAGGACAATAGGCATCAGTCCACAGGTGAGGGTTCAAAGACAGGTAATGACACTACTGGGCTATAACAACTCAGTTGTTAGGGGACATTGTTAGGCATCAAAGGACTGAAACGCCAGTTTTTTCAGCTTACTATGACCTGGATGACTGAGAATCTACACGGACATCTCACAAGCTCTGCGTCTCCTTCATAAATATGGAAATATGTATGAAAGCGTTTCTCAGCTAATGCAGTAACCCACAATCTTTGTCTTTCAGATCCTGGCGATGATCTCCATCCTGTTCATCATCATCTCTACCATCTCATTGTCTCTCAACACCCTGCCAGAGCTGCAGGTGATAGATGAATTCGGCCATTTCAATGACAACCCCAGCCTAGCTCATGTGGAAGCTGTCTGCATTGCCTGGTTCACCATGGAGTACATGCTGCGGCTACTTTCAGCACCAAACAAGTGGAATTTCATCAAAGCACCACTGAACATCATTGATTTGCTGGCTATACTGCCTTACTATGTGACTCTCTGCTTAACTGAGTCAAACAAGAGTGTGATGCAGTTCCAGAACGTGCGCCGTGTGGTCCAGATCTTCCGAATTATGAGGATTCTGAGGATCCTGAAGCTGGCCAGACATTCAACAGGACTACAGTCTTTAGGCTTTACTTTACGAAGAAGCTACAATGAGTTGGGTCTGCTGATCCTCTTTTTAGCCATGGGAATTATGATTTTCTCCAGCTTGGTGTTCTTCGCTGAGAAAGATGAAGACGCTACCAAATTCACCAGTATCCCTGCCTCTTTCTGGTGGGCTACCATTACTATGACTACTGTTGGCTATGGAGATATCTACCCACAAACCCTGCTCGGCAAGATTGTTGGGGGGCTCTGCTGCATAGCAGGTGTGTTGGTCATTGCCCTTCCAATCCCAATCATTGTCAACAACTTCTCAGAATTCTACCGAGAGCAGAAGAGGCAGGAGAAGGCAATCAAGAGAAGAGAAGCTCTTGAAAGGGCCAAACGGAGTGGAAGCATTATTTCTATAAACTTAAAGGATGCTTTTGCACGTAGCATGGAACTCACAGATGTGTTGGTGGAAAAGAGAGAGGACAGTAAGTGCCCTGTGGACAGTCACCTGTCACCCAGTCGCTGGAGCTACCACAAACACTACTCCAATGCAGAGGTGGGGAGCCCAGGCATGGCTCAGCATTGTCATTACCAGGAAGTGGCTCAGCTGGGCTCTCCTAAACAAGTCAAGCTCTCATCTACCACACCTCAACACCTCAGCACAAGGCAGGTGGAAGATGTTTACAACAAGACAGCAACCATCCAGGAGCAGCAGGAAAAAGTTGAAGTGGAACAGATGGAGATGAAAGCATTGACCTCCAGCCAAGCCCAGCAAACTTCATCTGAAGTCAGCATTGCCAGGAAATTCTCAAATGTGGCCGATGGATCATCACTGGAAAGAGGAGAAAGAAGCTATCTTCTCTCGAGTGCTGACAGAGGTCAAACAGGGACTAGACATCAGCGTATCCCCCCTCCTTTGGATCTAAGTCAGATCAGCAGCATGGAGGTGAACAGGCGCTCTGACAGCATCCAGCCAGAGACAATCATTAAAGAGGGTTTGTATGAGTTTGTTTCCAGCCCCAGAGGAAGTGGGCCTGGTGATTTGGATTTGGTGTCAGAAAATACTGAAAGCTTTGGGGTGACCTATGACAGTGTCTTGAGCTCCTTGCAAGATTATGGCAGCCCTCAAACAATGAGAACCCTCAAGGTTGACTTTATTGGATCTCAAGATGATGTGCTTATGGCAGTGATGACTCCTGTGACAACCCCAGCCTCAGGTTGCTCAGTCAAACTTCCTCAACTAATTTCTGATGACATGATTTCCAGGTTTTCTCCATCTTCTAGCTCTGCAACACAGGAAGCTAAATCATTCTTGCAATCACCATCCCTGGACCAGCATTCTGTCAGTCCACGCAGCTCCCAGGAGGGAGGTGAGGGCTCAGTGACCATGAGCTTAGAAGGTGAAGGGCAGCTCACAAGCTTAAGCCACCAGGGGAGGAATCACACAGAGAGGTCTGCTGTTGACTCAGTCAGCAGTGCTAACCCACTGCTGTCTAAAGCCAGCCCACTTAACTGCACCCAGGATCTAGTATCTATGGAAGGAAGGGAGGAAGGAGAAGAGGGAGCGGAACAGAGTGGAGAGAAGCGAGAAAACCACATTGCTCTGGACAGAAGCCTGACACCACCCTGTGAAACAGACATGTAAGCCCCAAACCAGAGAAAGATTCAGAGACAAGGACACCAAGTGGAATGCCCAAAGGAAAAAAAACAGCTACTACTCAGAATAATTCATAACAACACACTTGTTGACAAAGACATGGTGGATTAAAGTAGTATCAGTTGTTTTTCTGGGGAGATACACTAGTCATTTCCCACAGGATCCTTGGTTAGCCCTGCTGGCCAGAAACAGATTCCTCTGTCAGAGTGGCCATCGAGGGAAGTCAGAAGTGTACCCACTGTCAACTGCAGGACACTGTCCACTGTCAGTGTTATTGACTCCTTCTTTGGAGATCACAACAGTAATATGATGCAGGGCAAAGCAGCAGCAGCTGACATATTTTTTTGGCCTCAGATGTGAGCATAAACAAAGCCTTGTGTGAACGGGGATATTTCTGACTATTCTAAAGTGTTTTTGTGTTCAGCTCCTCAGATGTAATTTACAGTTTCATATTGCTTGCATTTTTATGCCTATTGATTTTGTTGGACTAACCCAAGGAAAGACAGAAGGTTATGGTCTTAATGCTTTTGTAATGGGATGCAGAGCAAACGCAAACACATGATATAGGACAAAAAGTTTCTTTGAACTTCACTGGACGCAAACAGAATTGTATAGTCCATCAGTACATATGTGTCTGCTGTATCCTGAACAGTGATACATGTCTTTGTCTCAGTGCTTCAACGACATATACTTTATTTTAGGTATGTTTTTTTTTCTTAATTTTGTCCCTCATTTTTTTTATAATATCTGAAATGAAGGCAGGGTCTTGAATGTGAAAAGGGACTTGAATAGGGATGTAAAGACTATTGTATTCAGTGCTAGACCACTGTTTTCACACACCTCTAGAATAAAAATACACCAAAAATAAACACATACAAACAGAAGGATAGCACATAAGGACAGTGGACAAGTTCACTGATCACTGATGTGTGGGTCATCACACACTGCCCGTGTCTCAGCTCAGGGGCTCCTACTTCACTGTCATACATTTCTACACTTAATGTGTTATGACAGACCTTTGACATCTATACATGGCGTCACTACTTTCCCCAACTATGCAAAAATGAAGCCAAAATATCATGAATATGGAGGCTGCCATCTTGCTTTTTTGCCACGAGATTCTGCGCAGTAGCAACCAGAAGTGGAGTGACAGCATCAGGCCACCAATCAAAGCTGTCAACTCAACCAAAATACACCCCTTTTTATATCATCAAATAACTTATTTAAAAAAGCTCACCAGAAAAATAACCACTTGTGCACACATTAGTGTGATAATATCTACCAAAAGCCACAGAAATCACCTCTGGGAAAAATGTATCTTATTTGTACTTTGGGTTTTTAATGTGACTCATGTTCCATCCACTGGCATGGATGAGGTCGGATTTATAACCTGGACTGCAAGCAGCCACCAGGGGGCGTTAAAGTCATGGGAACTGTCATGGTGTCCACATTTCCTGCAGTTGATGTGACAAACTAAGGAGGGTTGATAAAGAAGAAGACCAACAGGTCAATAAACATGAACAGTCAGACAGTTTGGAAACAAATAGGTTAGCCAAACTTACTGTATTTTGAAAGAGAGAATTAAGGCAAATTGTAAAAATATTACCCAAACATTTGTCACAGTTTTCACTTACATTCTCAAACAGAGTAGCTGGCTGATTTGGACGGGGCAGTGGGCTGCACCCTGCAGCTTCCACAATCACTTCCAGGGTGATCAGCCAAATGTGAGAGCGGACAAGATTTAAACTTCTCTTTCAAGATCTTTTATTCATTCTTCACACTTCTCCTTTTGCCACTTTTTGTGTGAACAACTGAGAGTCACTTTATGAATGCTTTCAAGGAGCAGGTGTCGGTAAAAGTGCCCTTATCCCCATTTGTATGATTCACTTTATCAGGACCATAAAGACCTGAACAGGCATACATGTTTGTCGTGCAAATTAATTTCTTTTGAGTATACTGGACACTTTACTGCAGTTGTGTGAACAGTTTTTGCAACAACAGACTGTTAGCAACATTTCAGGTGTGTTCACTTTCAGTGTTGGCTTGTTTCCAAACTGTCTGATCCTTTGACTGTGTGTTTAGACACACTGGACCCTGTCACCATGCTCTCAGCCCTTAGCAGTTAACTTGGTGAGTATGTTATCATAACTTGTAGGAAAGGCGGACAAAACTATTCATACAAGTTACAGACAAGGGTGCAGGTTCACCCTTGCAGCCTTCAGTCATGCAAAGACATCAAAGCCTCTGAAGGAGGTGGCCCCTAAATTCATGTAACATCCTTCGCTGTTCCGTTCTAACCAGTGCATGTTCAAATATGACAGCTGGACAGAGATAACTAGAGAGTGTGTGTCTGTGTGACTTACACGGCTGCTGTTTGTATTGTAAAGGTAGTATAAGAGTGCCCTCTGCATGCATTTTCAAGACACTTGTATGAAAAGACCTCAGGCCTCTTTAGCACTGTCTATCTTATCTAGTATACTGTATATGTTTCATTAGATCTGTTGTGCATTCATTAGAATGCATGCTGAAACATTCAAAGCACGTTTGATTGTGTGATTTGTGTTACAAACTGAGCACAGAATGAGATTATGGTGAGGGGACCATTCACAAGGTGAAACATGAATTGTAACTTCATTCCCAAGTATACTCACTCTCTCTATATGAAAATGTAAAATTTTTACTGTCAGTTAAAACAAATTTATTGCACTTCTATAGGAGGACCTTGGAGCTGTGCAATAAATAATAAATAAGGTGCCAGTATATTAAAAAGGGTGCCTTTTCATAAACAAACAATTTATGAGAAAGTGAAAAACCCCTATACAATGTGACAAGTTTTGTTTTCATTTTCTCTTTTGTTTGTCACTGTACAGTGGTTCTGCTGTTAAACAAATTCCCAGGTTTTCAGGTGTTGCATACCTTTATGTGTTTGTATTTTTCTCTAATCAGCTTCAGTCTCAGTCATGCAGTTTCATGCAACATAGTTTACAGATCAACCTTCACTGTGCCACAGTGTCATTTCATTACAGCAAACAAACCTCTCTGTAGAAAGCAGTGGCTTCAAGTTCAGCAGTGAGGTCAGCTTGGATCAGTTTGGTGCTGCAGCAGCATACTGCATAAAAACTGCAGCACTAAAAGGACAGCGGATGTTCAGTAGATGCTAATTAACTACAACAAAGAAAGCTGCCACCACACTGTCTGTGGAGAATGACCATCCATAGGACATGTGGCAACCAGTCAACATCAACTTCTGAAGAGCAGCTTTGAAGACGCAGTGTGAGATGAATGTTGTGTCTTGGCTCCTTTATGTAGGTTTTGTCAGTGAAAGTAATTTCTGATCATAGTCTCCCTTTGTCTGGGAGCCAGTAGCCCAAGCAGACCAGTCAAGGCTGCTGAGTAGATAAAAGTACTTCACTGAGCACAATGTGCTCACTGGAAATTTCTTCTTAATTAAACAAACAAAGCACTGTTTGCTTGATGTGTAGGTGAAAGAGGAGATCATGTGGACTCAACCAGAAAAGGCTTCTATAAACATCGCCCCCCCATTTTTATCCAAATAAGTGATTAGACAAAAATAAGGGATGCCATTTTGGTCCGATATGATGTAAAAATGTTGGGTTTTAAAAACCGAAAATGTGGGTTTAATAAGACTACAAAATGGTACAGTCGTTTGATCATGTACAAGTTCATTAGACTGTGGGCGAATGTTCGGACAATGAGAAACACAGAGCTCTAAAGTGAAGAAATGCTATCTTCAGTCCCCCTTGTCCATTCACAAAACCACTAAAAATTCCGCATGCTCATGATGTACTTCAGATGATTTAATTGAAAATAAATATGCACACTAAAAACCTCATTTTAAATAACTGAAATGAATTCTCAGGAGCTATAGACTGCAGCTTGGTAACATATTCTCCTGGGTGTGCTCTGCTCAGATAAGAATGGTGTAGTGGTTGAGCGCAAACTATAGCCCTGGGTCACTTCTGTCCACATACTGTATGGAAGGAATACTCTAGTCTGGTCTGTTTGCTCAGATGTGGCTCTGTGGTACAAAAAGTGTTGGTTTGCCACTGTTGTATGCCAGGCACCATATGAACACTGCTTTGGATGCATCAGAACCTCATCTCCACAGTTATCTGAAAAACGTCACCCAATGTCCAGTTGTATTTGTTATAATCATGTAGGTTTTCTACAGTTAGATAAACACCCAGTCACAACAAACCAGAAACTAAAAACCTTCTTCAGCTCTCCTGCCTGCTCTTTCTTTTGTTTCTTCACTTTTCCATCCTCATCTATTTTGCTTGTTTAACAGTAGCCTGATTAGTCAGATTCATTACTTAAAAATAAATGTTTTCCTGTAACCTGTTTATATCTTTTTTGTTTGTTTGTTTTGTTACGTGTATTTATGCATGAATGTTTGTGGATCTAGGCAAGACTGGAGTTCCAGTGACTGGGAGTCAAAGCCACACACTGACAAGAACTCTACATCCTTTGCATTAAAGCAACAATGTGTAGCTTTTTATATTAAAATAACTGTTTCAACATCATTTTGGTGGTAGACTGACTTCTACTAAGACGAATGGCATCTCTGCTATTTCCACTGTGAGCCCAGATCATCTGTTACTGCACTATGTAACTGTCGATCAGTGTCCTGGAAGATTCATGTGATAGCTGCATGTTGCTTTATGGCACCAGAACCAAGCTCAGTATTCTTACATTCGGAGACAAAACCCTGGGCATTTACTGAGTTCAGTTCAGTTCAGTAACAGCTTCGTCTTGTAAACAAATGCACTTGTCCATGAGAAGGGGTGAAATCTCCACTAATCACAAGTGTCCTGAGACAACTTTTGATTTGGCACTATACAAATAAAACTTATTAATCGAACTGAATAGTATTTATAACACTTGGGTACAACTCACTTACACTCAGCAACTGTAGGGGGAGAAAAAAAGTACAGGCTTTGTTTTTTGTGTCAGATCAAACCTTTCTATGGGGCAGGGTTACAGTGGACCTGTATATTCACGGTAGTAATGGTGTTCAGTCCACAAGGAGGAGGTGTAGCTGAAATGGACAACCAACCAATAAAGAGCTAATTTTTCATTTAGTATGAAATATCTTACATTATAGCTCATTTATTTGTTAGAGGGAATAATAGCAACAACAACAATACTACTACTACTACTACTACTAATAAAGCTAAAATAAGCCAGTAGAATTAATTACAAGTTAAAATCATAGTCCTAATCTATCACGAAATGTTTTAAAGCTATTCAAAATGTAATTGTTTATTATAGTAGATATACTATACTAGCAATGTTGAATGTTCCTTTTCTTTTTTTAAACAGTATACAACAACAAAAGAAAACAAGTATACATGCACTGTGACATATGACGTCAGCTGAGAGAGCTTCGCATGACGTCACCGAGGCTACACTGCGTCCATGTTATGCTCCAGCCTGAGGAGGGAGCCCGGTATGTCCTCACTAGGATTATACACTGAATATTATCCAGTACCGTGTTATGGTTCCAGCAGGTTTTACATTTCGGGCAGACCGCTGCACTCTTGCTTTAACACCGTACATAACGTTATTTAGGAGACCGTGTCCTCCTGCTGATCGCAGACCTAAGGAGCAGCCCCGGGATTTCTCCGCTGTGCTGGTGCAGAACAGAGGTAGGCAAACACCAGCATTTATCGACAGCTTCACTGTCACATGATCATGGCATCCCCGTGCAGTGATGACAGTGGTGACTTCAGTAACAGTAATAAGTAACGAGTAATCGTGCAGGTACAACATATAGAAAATCGAAAAGCAAAACCCGTTCTTTCCCCGTGTTAAATCATTAATGCACATGAAATAAGTGTAGCTGGCCCAGGCGGCGCCTCAGTTGGCTCTATACTACACATATTTTATAAAACAGCAACATATTCTATGGGCTTCTGATGTTTCTTTGCTTAATTTGATCAGCAAAGTAAGGTGCAGCTGCAGCAGCCAGATGTGAGGATGTATGGAGCAAAACTGTTACCACTGACACAGTGGAGCAGAGGCATAACAATGCACAAATGGTTAGGTAATACAGGGGAGACCGGGGATGATGGAACAGCTTTATTTTGAGCACCACTAACTCAGTGGCTGTTCATGCTAGATCTCTCAAACTTTGATACATGGTTCCCTTATTTGTCTACTAGAAACAAACTCACTTAGATGATGACTACACCATCACAAATTATGAGTTAATGTAAAATACAAAGAGGTCAGTTGTTACAGCCTACAGTACCCCACTAGTGGGGCGAGCTGGGCATGGACTTAACAGCGAGGTGTTATTTGCTAAAATAATAGCCATACTGTCTAATTTATACAAGGATTATAGTGAATAATAAAGAATGGCCAGCTTTTTAAAACAAGGAAACCATTTAAAAGGACAAAAACATTTTAGGTTAGGTTTGGGGTAAGGCATGTCAGGCTGTCAGATTCAGGTCAAAATGTTTTCCAGCCTACAGACTGTAGGTAACAGTGAGTGGCAAGAAAAAGTAAGTGAACCATTTGGAATGACCTGGTTTTCTACATGAGTTTGTCATAAAATATGATCTGAAATTCATCTAAGTCACAAATAAAGACAAACACAATGTACTTAAGATATTAACAGAATTATAATTTTTTCTGTATATATTGAACATTAACATTCAAATTATTGGTAAAAGTGAACCCTTGGATTTACTAATTGGTTGAAGCTCCCTTTAACTTCAGACAAGCACTTCCTGTAGCTGTGGAAGCTGCACGATGTTCAGGAGGAATTCTGGACCATTCTTCCTTACAGAGCAGCTTCAGCTCAGTCGTACTTGTAGGATGTTTTGTGTGAACAGCTCTGTGAGGTCATTCCACAGCTTCTCTGTTGGATCCAGGTCTGGGCTCTGTCCAGACCACTCCAAAAGAGTTTCTTGTTTTGAAGCCATTATGTAATAAATTTATTTTAATTTATAGGGTGTGTTGTACATAATAATACATACTGTAACATAAAACAACCATTAAAGAGATACAAAAAAAAAAAAAAAAACAGATAGCCACATCCATCAGACAGATTACTTAAAAATATTAATGAATGAATGACACTTTCAGCTTTTTCACGTTAGGGGTCGCCACAGTGAATCGTTACACTGATGATTTTACACCGGATGCCCTTCCTGATGTGGCCCTGACTTGAACCTGGTGTGCAGCAGCGAGCGCTGTGCCCTAACCTCTAGTCTATCAGGGAACCCCCTACTTACAAATAATAATAAATAGGATAAAAGAAAAACTAGATTACAGCTATAAAACCATGTCTTAAGCGAGGATTTAAAAACAGTCATGGATTGGACCAATCTAATACCAATCTGGTAAAGGCAACTCATTCCAAACTTTGGGGGCTGCAACTGCAAAGGCACGGTTACCTCTACATTTTTTCCTTGATTTTGGAACAATCAGAAGTGAGTGATCAAAAGACATAAGAGGTTTGCGAAGTTCTGACAGGCTAAACCATTGACTGTTTTTAAAAGCCAGGATTTTAAACTGGGTCCTGAAATGAGCAGGTAACCAGTGGAGAGAGTCTAAGACAGGAGAGATATGCTTTTATTAGTGCCAGTAAGAAAATATAACATCCTCCTGTAGCTTCAAGGTTTACTTTTTACCCAAATGATTCCATGCAAATATCAAGCAGTCACTGACTCTTTGTGTGTGTGTGTGTGTGTGTATTTAGAATGCCGTCTCTGTCGGAGCAGCTGCAGGAGGTGCGGAGTCGGGCTGAAGTGTGCTTGTACTCTGGTGGCAGGGTGGTGGAGGTGCGGGCTGCAGTGATGGCCATGGCTAATCTGCCCTTACCACCCTGCTCCAAATACCACCACATTGCTGCAGAAACCATGGTCATAGAAAACAGCTTTGGAAGCAACAGAAAGGAGGTGAGAGAAAACGTGCACATACAATATCCCCTTTTGCGGTTACCCATATCACATCAAGATTGTAGGTTATATTTTGCTAACCCTGGTAAACAGGCAGTGGTGTTGACTATTCTATATTGTACAGGTAGAAAAATCAAATAAAATAGTTACAGATGGAGTGTAACTGCCACAGCTGACAGCAGCATTGTTTGGTTTGTTGCAAACTGTTGGGTTAATGGTTTATTTCTGTTACAGCTCAGCAGCTAGTCCTGAAAAACAAGAAACATCAAGGACTTTCATTAAGGAGACAAACTAAGATAAGATTAATCGATTAAAATGTGTTTTTAGTGATTATGAATGATTAAAGACAAAGCGAAAGTGGCTTTAAATAATGGTTTGATTGCAACAAGTGTGCTTAGTGCTCAGCTTAGTCCAGTAGCTAGGACAAGGTTAAATCCCAGCACTTTAACTTCTCAGCAAAAAATAAATAAATAAATAAATAAATAAAAAATAACTGCTGCAGCTGCACTTTAAAGCAGCAGGTCAACTTTGAAAACATTAAGCATGACAACAAGTTAGAACCTGATGCCCTTATAACAGAAAACTGAGCAGGCGACAGAGTCGCAGCAGTATGGCCTAGAGCTGTTAAAGGAGGGTAAGCTGGATGTATCTAGTGCTTCAGGTCATTTGTCAGAAGGGAAAGTTGGCCAGTTTGATCTGGTTAACAATTTTCACCTCCTACCTAAATTTGACGAGGGGTATCTGGATCTTCTCTTTGTTTGAATGGTTAGTTGATGCTAGGGAATGGACTGACTCAGACTGAACTGTATTACTGCAGTGTGTCCTAACGAGTAAGGAGCAGGAGGCTTACTCAGCTTCAAGTGTGGCTGACAACCAGATATGTGAGACAGTGAAATCTGCTATGTTTAAAGAGCCCATGTTGCTTTTCCTCGTTTTTTGACTTATCTACAATATTACAGCAGTGAATTATCATCGTAGACGTGACCTAAAGCTAAAAAAACTGAGGTGTACCTATGCTCTATAATTTTTATGAAGAAGCAACTCAGTTTATATAAGTCTAGCAAACTCTCTAACAAAATTAAGTATTACGTGATAGTTTAAGGATTTCCATGACTGGCCATAATCTCTAGGCAGCTGCACATTCATGTGAGCTTGCCTGACATCCACGGTGCCATTGTAATAGCGGAATTTTTTGATTGCTCATGGGTTTGTGGATATATTTTACCTCCTGCTGCTGCACTGTGACCAGAGGATTTAGATAGAAATACAGGGCCTGAGGCTACTGCATGTCCAGGAATGTTCCTGTACAGGGACTCGCTGTTTTACCTGACCTGGTCTAACCCACTAGCAGCTGGCCAGTGAAGCTCCCCACAGTGATGAATGATCAGCTCATCGAGGCTGGATTCCCCCAGAGCACAGTACCTGTTTGTTTTGACTGCTTGAGGGCAGTGTGTCTGCTGCATGTGATGTGTTGCTCATTAACCAGTGGATTAACGACCCGTGATGTTACTGTTGGTGCTACGCTACTTGGATGGAATTAATTTCACTACTTTGGGACTGTATGTGCAGGGTGTCTGGTATACTGCTCTGAATGCAGACCAGCACCACTCTCTCAAAACACTTCATAATGGTTGGGGTGAGTGCCACTGGCCTGTAGTCGTTCAGGCAGGTGACCAGGCTCTTCTTGGGAAGGGGGATGATGGTTGTGGTCTTAAAGAAGGTGGGAATGATGTTCTGGCTGAGGGAGAGGTTGAAGATGGTGGTGAGAACATCAGCCAGCTCACTGGCACATGCCCTGAGAGCCCTCCCAGGGATGTTGACCGGTCCTGCCTCTTTGCGGGGGTTGATCTTCCTCAGGACTGTGCGTTCCTGGCCTGGTCGACAGTACATGACGTATTTCCCAGTAACAAACTCCTCAGTTGTTTAGGAGTCTGATGGCAGAGGGAAAGAAAGAGTTTTTCAGTCTGGAGGTCCTGCATTTCACACTTCTGAACTTCCGGCCAGAGGGTAGGGAGATATTGATAATTTGGTGATTTCTAGTATAATGCATGCCAGCCTGGTAACCTACCATAAGGTGACAGACCAGCATTACTCATGCCAGTCACAGAATGCAGCTATCACAGAGGGGCCTAGTCCAAAAATAATAAAACTTGGATTCAAAGATTATGTTATCAACGGAGGTAGTAAGAAGAGAACAGCATTATGCAAAGTCTAATGTGCAAAAGTCAACGACATATTCAACCATTTACTCAGTCGTGACAGCCAGATGTAAGGTTAACTGTATGTTTCCCTTTCAGATTGAACTAGAAACTTAAGGCTGTTTACCTTGTGGCTAAATTTTTTGTTCTCTCTTTCTTCTACAGACCCTTGTATCTCTGCAGCGCTTGTCTACAGCACTGAACATCCTGGAAAAATATGGCTGCAACTTGACAAATCTCAACAGGCCAAAGTACTGGAGGACAGTAAAACACAACAACCCGGTGTTTAGGGCAACAGTTGATGCTATTCAGGTAATTAAAAACATTTTTATGCAGTGCAGTTGAGTATTACAAGTACTTCTATAAAACTGTACTCTAATGAGCTAAAGAATTTACTGTATCTAAGACATAGAACCACTGACCATGTAACTCATTTCATAAAAAATGCCTTTATTAAATACTGATGGCATGTTTAGTCAGTCTGCAAATTATCTGTAAGTGTTGAACATAGACTGCCTGACAGTAGGAACATGGAGGCTAGCTCTATATGTCACTGTTTATAATCACAAATGTGATACTACATACAGTATTTTATGTGCTTACAGTAAATGAAAGTAGTGAGTTAGCAGAGATAGAAGCTTGCTCATTCATTCTGACCGATGCTTCAGTTTGGCACAGAATAGTCACTGTTCAGTTGTTGAATAGCCTGAATTTGTTATCATAGGTTATATGGTGGAACTAAGACTTTGATCACTGATATAGGGGCCACCACAGTCATATGAGTTCAACTCCTGCTACTATGTCCTACCTTCTTCCTACCTTAACTTCACCCATGGGCTGTTGCAGTTGCGGTATCTCACTTACAGGACATGATGTAACCACACTGCTTGACACAAAACACCAGCAAGACCAAGAATCTCTCTCTCTTACTGTGCCTGGCCTGAGAATATGGACACCCTGACTATCATGCACATTATGCCCTACATGGGTCAATAGAGATGGTTTCCTTGCAGCATAACAAAGGATTTTGTTGCTTACATGTCACTGAAACAAACACAGCCACATTCAGCTTTGATCAGCTGTTTTCAAATGGTTAATTTTACTGCAAGCCATGCAGGTTACAGAAGAAATTAAAGGGTGACCAGTTTTTCCTTTTGCCAAAATGTCAGCAGGATCATCAGCTGTTTTTTTCACTGCTCACACACACTGTACTGAACAGGGGAGCAAGGCAGGTTTCTGAGGCAAAACCTGGTCTGGCATGTGTCTGCCATCCCAGGACTGACCTAGAGCATACTTAAGGAAAACGGGACAAAGACACTTGTCAGCCCACCACATCATAGCCTTGTAGTAAGCTGACATTTGGGCAGTTAGTTTAGCTATCTAATGTAAATGTGTTTTTGTTTTGATGCTAAACTATTGCTGAACACTTTGCAGGTGTTGGTTATTCTGTTTTTTGTCTGGGCCAGCGAGCTTCCTATTCAGTGTCAATGGAAACCAAGTGTTGCTGCTCAGTACACCCTGCTGTGGGAGATGGGGACAAATGGAGCCCAGCGACGTGACAGCCCAGAGTTGGAGAAAGCTCAGCTTTATGTCAATATGTTGTGACAGAGTTCAGTGACAGCTGGGTGAGAGCCAAGTGGGATTATCTTGATTTCAGTGGAAATGCAAGCAAAGAGTTATATCTCTAAGGAAGAAGCAGCAGGAAAAGAAAGTTGGTCATTGCACTGCTCCAGTGAGAGAATTTTCAACACAGTGGAGGAGAACTTATCATCACGGTCTCTGGCTTCCCACTTCATTACAACATATCTTTACTGAATATGTAGCAGTATATAGTATGGCGTATATGTCATAAGGCATCTATCCAGCCATAGCCCAGCATGTAAATTATGTGCTCAACACAACACTGCCAGAGTCAAGTGCCAGCCAACTACTTTCTCTATGTGTGAACATCTCATTACTAACACACCAACCCGCCATTTTCATGTTGAGAGCTAGTGTCAATATCGAGGATCTGCTCAAAGGCTGGAGTTATCACTTACTGTAGGTGAATGTTTTTTATTGGCTGATATGTATGTATTTTAATGTGACTGGCTGTTACTTAATTCTTGCAAACCTTTTTTGTTTCATATCCACTTTGTTATGTGCTTTTAATAGATCCCGACAAAACCCACAAGCCAAAATGCGTTGGTCCTATAATAAAGTTGTTCTACATACCGCAGGTGTTGCTGTAGTTTTGATCTCTCGAGTTTGTTTCTTCTCATACATGCAGTTGTGTCTGTATACTCAGCAAGAGGTCAAACACATTCCCAGTTGGTGTTGGGCTTCGTCTGGGTTGTCCCTTGTCCTGTTTGTGATCTTCATGGACAGGATTTCAAGACGCAGCAGGGGGTAGAAAAGTGTCTGGTTTGGGGACCTCAGAATCGCATCTCTGCTATTTGCTGAAAATTTGGTTTTGTTAGCTTCATCAGACCATGACCTCCAGCACACACTGGGGCATTTTGCAGCCGAGTGTGAAGCGGCAGGGATGAGAGTTAGCACCTCTAAGTCTGAAGCCATGGTGCTCTGCTGGAAAATGGTGGACTTCTCCCTCCGAGTTGGGAGTGAGTTGCTGCCCCAAGTGAAGGAGCCTACTGTAAGTATCTCAGGATCTTGTTCATGAGCAAGAGTAAAATTGAGTGTGAAATTGACAGGCAGATAGAGGCAGCTTCAGCAGTAATGCGGACATTGTACCAAACCGTTGTGGTGAAGAAGGAGCTGAGCCAAAAGGCAAAGCTCTCAATTTACCAGCCAGTCTACATTCCAACCCTCCCCTGTGGTGTAGAGCTGTGGGTAGTGATCGAAAAAATAAGATCATGAATACAAACGGCTGAGATGAATTTCCTTTGTAGAGTGACCAGATTTATCCATTAGAGATAGGGCGTGGAGCTCGGATATGCGGAAGGGACCCAGAGTTGAACCGCTGCTCCTTCACATCAAAAGGAACCATTTGAGTCGGTTCAGGTATCTTATCAGGACAATTCCATTCTGTGCATGTCCATCTGGTAGAAGACCCTGGGGAAAACCTAGGACATGCTGGAGAGATTATACTGTATATCTCATCTGGCCTGGGAATGCCTCAGAATCCTGCCAGAGGAGCTGGAACACGTCTGGACTACCTTACTGAACCTGCTGCTACCGCGACCTGACCCTGAAAAAGAAGTAGAAAATGGATGAATGAATGGATTTGAATTAGTAATTAAAATTCCAAATTTGTGGTCAATCTTTGATAAAGAATGATATTTATCAGATGAAAATCTGGCACCTGCATTTTATTGTCTTCCAAAGTGAGACTTGGTCATAGTACCTACACTGATAATCCCATCCCATCCTGATCATATCCTGGTCCCTACCTGAATATGGCCTGATCCACTTCCAGATCTTTATCAGAACTGTACTGAAATCTGTCCTGAAAATATCTAGACTATTTTACTCTCAATCCCAAGGAACATTTTTCTGTGCTGACACAAAACTTTTAAATAAAAAGGTCTATTTTAAAATCAAAAGTTTGGAAAACAACAACAAAAAGACATTTAATTCACATTCCACCCTGTTTGTTCTTTCTACACGCAGGGTGGACGAGCAGTGCTCTGTCTCTATGGTTACTCCAATCAGCAGTCAGATGGACTCAGCTTCCCTGATGATGTCACAGATCCTGATGTGGGCCGTGTTGCTGCAGTAACACTAGAAGTGATGAGCCTGAGGATGGAACTGGAAATGCTTATTAAGGTCTGTGTGTGTGTTTGCACCTGTTATTACTCACATTATGGGGACTGAAGTATGTTTACAGTCACATGTTGAGTGTGTAAACATGTAAATCATTGAATTTTAGGGCGATGACTTAATTTAAGGTTAGAGTTAGGTTAAGGTTAGGGAATGTTTCCGGGGGGGGTTGTACATGGATTAACAGGTTAGCCAGATGATCTTTCAAAGTGTCATAGGACTTGCTGTTATGCCAACATGTCTGCAATGTCAAACATACTATGGAGCAAGTTTGTTCTCAGGCTTATTAAATGTAAACAGGACAACCTGTTGCTATTTGTAGAAAAACATTGAGAAATGCTGTTATATTTTGCAAAATAATAATAATAATGGTAGCAGTGCTAAGTAATACATTACACTAATACTAGCTTTAAGAATATTCTTGCACTTTACTTTCACTTGTTCCTGGTTTCTTTTTGTGCTTGTGCTTATTCTGAATATGCAGAGATTATACAAAGCTATATGAATTCCAATGCACACGCGTCTAGATAATGATGTGGTCATGAAAAACTATTAAGAGAAGAAGCTATTCTACACATCCACTGTATGCACTGGAATTCCTTTTACTTTGTGGATTTATTCTGCTCTGGCTACCTGCAGAAAGGTACAGGGAGAGAGAGAGGACACACTATGGGAGAGAGGAGACACACAGTTAATGACATGTAATGCTGACATATAAAAATAAAATGGGGAGGGCAGGTGGGAGGAGAGGAGCTCAGCAGCATGGGACAACCCTCATCCTAGACCTATAACTAAGTCTTGGTACACCAAACCAAGCATACCCTGCATGCCCAATAATTTCATAGATATCACTACAAGGTTGCAAGCGAAGGTTGTCCTATTGACTAGAAACCACTGGTACAGTTAAATATACTCAGTGACAACAGGACGGCCCAGGCCCCCTGTCTGCTTGTGGTTACTAAGATGGTTGTCGGTCTTATCCCTGTTCAGCTGCATTAGTTATCATGTTATGAAACATTGGAAGACATATCACAACATACTAAGTAGCTTTCTACCCTCCCTCACTATCCTACTAGAATTCTATTGAAAAACAACAATATCATATTAAGCTAACTATAAGCTTTATCAAAAAGGAAAGTCTTAAGGCTAATCTTAAAGGTAGAGAGGGTGTCTGTGTCCCGAACTGAGACTGGGAGTTGGTTCCATAGGAGAGGAGCTTGATAGCTAAAGGCTCTGCCTCCCATTCTACTTCTGTGGACTCTAAGAACCACAAGTAGACCTGCACTCTGAGAGTGAAGTGCTCTGTTAGGATGATAAGGCTCTACGAGGTCTTTAAGATACAATGGAGCCTTGTCATTAAGGGCTTTGTATGTTAGGAGAAGGATTTTAAATTCTATTCTGAATTTTACAGGGAGCCAGTGGAGAGAAGCTAATATGGGAGAGATATGATCTCTCTTGCTAGTTCCTGTCAGTACTCTGGCTGCAGCATTTTGGATTAACTGGAGGCTTTTTAGGGAATTATTGGGACATCCTGATAGTAAAGAGTTACAGTAGTCCAGCCTGGAAGTAACAAATGCATGGACCAGGTTTTCAGCATCACTACTGATTTTTGTGATATTGTGCAGGTGAAAGAAGGCAGTTCTAGAGACTTGGTTTATTTGTGATTTAAAGGACATATCCTGGTCAAAGATGACTCCAAGGTTCCTCACAGCAGTACTGGAGGCCAGAGCTATATCATCTAGAGAAACTATAAGACAGCAGATTTCTAAGGTTTTCAGGCCTAACCTCAGTTTTGTCAGTTTAAAAGTAAGAAATTCCAAGTCATCCAGGCCTTTATGTCTTTAAGGGAGGCGACAGTGGTGTGGCGGGTAGGGCAGTCATCCCCCTACCAGAAGGTTAGAGGTTCGAATCTTGGTGCCTGCAGTCCACATGTCCTTGGGCAAGATACTGACTTAGTGGAGCGCCACCTCCTTTCCAGTTTTCATGATGCCTCCTTTAGGGAGCAGAGCTGCGAGTTGTACCATGGAGCCTCCTCTGTTTCACCGACTTCTTTCACAGTATCAAGTGTTGTACGCAGGGAGGCTGCAGCACTGTCAAAATTATCAACTTGTGTGGGAGTAAAGTTAAGGTGGCCTCCTTCTACTGTGTTGGCAAACGGTACTGAAGTAGATAAAGACGGAATTATTTCCTTAAACTTGGTAACAGCATTGCCAGATAGACATCTGCTGTAGTGGAATTGTTTCCCACATAGAGTATAATCCATTAATGGAAATTCAAAAGTTATTAGAAAATGGTCAGACAGAAGAGGGTTATGGGGAAAAACTATTAAGTGTTCAGTTTCGATGCCATATGTCAGAACAAGATCAAGAGTGTGATTAAAACAGTGAGTGGGTTTAGTTACAGTTTGAGAGAAGCCAACTGAGTCTAATAATGAACAGAATGCATTGTTGAGGCTGTCATTGTCAGCAACTACATGAATATTAAAGTTGCCTACTATGATTATTTTATCTGTACTAAGCACTAAATCAGACAAAGTCTGAGGATTCAATTAAAAACTGAATAAGGACAATAACAAATGGAACTGGCTATTGAGTTTTCCAGTTTGGGTGTGAGAGACTCAGGGTGAGACTTTCAAATGAGTTATAACTATGTTTAGGTCTAAGGATGATTAATAGGCTTGAGTCAAAGATCGCTGCCACGCCACCACCTCGGCCTGTGTTTCGAGGGATGTGACAGTTACTGTGACTAGGTGGAGTGGATTCATTTAGGACATATTCTTCCTGCTGTAACCATGTTTCAGTCAGACACAATAAATCATTGTGATGTTCACTTTTTAAATCATTCACTAACAGATTTGGACGAGAGAGATCTGATATTTAATAGTCCACATTTGATTGTCCTGGTATTTTTTTTTATAAGAAGAGTAGTCTTCATTTTAATGAAGTGCTTATGAATAACTCCTCTTGAGGTGTTTTTTTTTAATTTATATACGCTGATCAGCCATAACATAATGACCACCTGCCTAACACTGTGTACACAGGAGTCAATGGGGCTGTTGTTTGGCACTCATGTCACTCTGCAGCTCACTGTGCATCTTCTGTGAATCTGTTTGCTTTCATAGTTCTACTGTGAGGAAGAGCATGAATGTGTTGACCATTCAGTAAAAAACTTATTTAAAAGGAGTGAAAACTGTGGTCATGAGGACGAGTTAGAGAGAATTGTTCAGACAAATTCAACAGCCTCATCACTCCAGGTGTGATATCACCACTATAGCTCTTGACTCTTCCTCTTCATAGAGACTAATGTACGGTATTTTGTGTACAATAGTTTCTCATTGTCCACCATTTTAACAAAGATTAAGGCAAAATGGAATCTTTTGAAAAGTACAAATGGAAGTTAAAAGTTTAATCTACAGTAGATCAACCTCATCATCAGTGAGCTGTGGGCGTCCATGACCCTGTCACCAGTTCACCATTTGTCCTTCCTTAGACACTGTTGGTAGGTACTAACCACTACAGACCAACAACACCCACCAAGACCTGCAGCGTGGGAGATGCTCTGACCCAGTCATCTCACCATCACAGTTTGGCCCTTGTCAAAGTCACTCAGATCCTTACACTTGCCCATTTTTCCTTCCAACACATCAACTTTGAGGACTGAATGTTCACTTGCTGACTAATATACCCCACACACTGACAGGTGATACTGTAACAGATAGTGTTATTCACTTCACCTCTCAGTGGTCATAATGTTATGTCTGATCGATGTAATGTATGTGGTTGGTGGGGCAGACAGAGTCTCTGTGGGTTACTGGGAGTTTTGGGTGTGCAGAAGCTGCAAGAGATGCAGAGAGGATTGTAAGACTGTGTCCTGGTCTCAACTCTGGGTTGTCATAATTTAGGTTGTAAAATAAACTCACCCAGATTTCAGATATGAGAGTCACATCATTCAAAGTGGGATGGATGCCGTCTCTGCTAATGAGACCAAGTTTTCCCCAAAATGTTTTCCAGTTGTCTATGAAGCCCACATCATTTTCTGGGCACCTCCTAGACAGCCAGTAGTTGAATGACGACATTTGACTAAACATGTGGTTAGCAAGTACAATTCAGTACAGGCACAGGAAGAGAGTATGATTACCACAGGAACAAGAAACAGCAGTCCAGCAATGATCCAGTCCAGTGTCACAGTGGAACATTCCCATCATAATTTTTGATCTGTGTGGAGATTTTGTTAATATTTCTGAGTAAGGACGAGTGTAGTGCAGCTTTAAAGACTCAGTGACGATATTTAAATCCACTACATTTAAATGTTTATTAAATACAAGTGAATAACTTTTCAGTTGTAACATAAATGTCTAAAAATGTACAGCCATTTTAACACTGATTGTTTCCACCTGCAAATCTCTGAAATCATTATTACTGGATCAGACTGAGGTTACAATCAGTGGTTTATAAATATCTTATGTTTCTTATATGTTTGATTTCACCTATTGTTATGGTTTAGTCCCCCTCACCAGGAGGGTGAGGGAGAACTGAGGACTCAAGAGTGCAGACCCAGGTGCTAGTAAAAAAAGGTGGTTTATTGGTGGCCTCACAAAAAGGAACAGAGTCAATGAATACATACAGCCAGTGTCGGACAGAGATGGTTGAGGAGACCAGGACAAGCAGATGAGTAGACAGAACAACGGCAGGAACCAGGAGAGTTAGAGGACTAGGACAGACAGGTGAGTAAACAGAACAACCAGGAGGATTAGCAAACGACATCAGGGAAACAGAGTAGTGAACGAAAAGAAAGAAATCAACTGCACAGGAACTGTCAGCATTGAAATCAATTACGCATTGCTAAACTCATGGAAACAAACATACAAAGAGATCCACAGCACAGGAACTGTCAGTGTGGACTTCTAGAAACGTATAACACAAAAACAACATATAACCAATGTACACAATGAAATCCACAGCACAGGAACTGTCAGCGCGGAAATTAAAAAGACGTATCACACATACCATGAACGCAGGTATGTCTACAGGTATTTCAGTATAATGCTCTGGCGAAGACGGAGCGTCTGCCAGAGGTATACATAAGGAGGAAGGTAATCATAGGAATGCACCTCAGCTGTGCGCACCGACAAACGAGTCACTAATTACCAAATGCCCCTTATGGAAAGAAAATATATTTCCAAATATATTACGTGTAAATATATGTAAGTTTTTTGTGTCTAAAATATATTGCAAAATATGCTGAATAATATCATGCATTAATATATTGGAATATATTAAATAATGCATTAGCCATTGCCGCTTTTCATATATTGAAAAATGTGTAAATATAAATATAAAACCTGAAATATCACATGGTCATAAGTATTCAGACCCTTTGCTGTGACACTCATATATTTAACTTAGGTGCTGTCCATTTCTTCTGATCATCCCTGAGATGGTTCTACACCTTCATTTGAGTCCAGCTGTGTTTGATTATACTGATTGGACGTGATTAGGAAAGCCACACACCTGTCTATATAAGACCCTACAGCTCACACTGCATGTCAGAGCAAATGAGAATCATGAGGTCAAAGGAACTGCCTGAAGAGCTCAGAGACAGAATTGTGGCAAGGCACAGATCTGGCCAAGGTTACAAAAAAAAATTCTGCTGCACTTAAG